TGTAAGCAGGGGTCTTTTTGTAGAAAAAGATTTGCAGGAGCTAATTAGCATAACACATTAGCATATGCCACACCCCCTGAAATCACCAGAAGTGTGTCAGAAGGCCACACCCCCTGACATAAGCCTTCTGGAGGGGTCCCCATTTGGAAGAAAAGCAGGGTTATCAATGTGCACAGATAGACAGAGAGACAGAGGAAGAGACAAGGGACTGTTCTTTGCAGTAAAAGCCAGAAGCCTCCTTTAAATAAAATCTAGCTCTGAGCCTCTGGCCTAAGACAACTGCAGATCTGCTTTCCCAATATCAATGTCAGTAGCAACAAATCAGACATTTGGTCCCCAGATATGTAGAAGCTATGAAATAGCTGACTGATATTGCCTCTTTATTTCTGGCACCACAGTCAAAGGATAGATTTGTCTGTGTAACAGTTTAAGTAGGATCAACTTTTGTGCAGCATTTCTAGGCTAGATGTTACAACAGAAAGATTAGAAGAGCACAGCAGATCTGATAGTTCTGAATAGATTACTGGGCAGGCCGCAGGAGAATTTAAAATCTGGAATACCCAGGTTCAAATCCCCACTCAGGCCATAGAAGCTTGCTGGGTGACCTTGGGCCTGTTACACTCTCTCAGCCTAACCTATCTCACAGGATTTCTGTGAGAATAAAATGGGGGAAGGAGAATGATGTAAGCTACTTTGGGCCCCCATTGAGGAGAAAAGTAGTGTATAAATGAATTAAGTAAATTAATAATAAATATAACAAAAATAAGCTACCGGGGTCCCTACTGGGAAGAAGAGAACAGATGTTTATAATCAATATATACTAATTATATTCATACAAATATAAAAGAAGTAGCTTCCTTCATTCCTTTCCTTGTTGTGCTCTATAGGTGGGCTGCTTCCATAGGGATGGGGCCGGAGGCCTATCCCGGGATGCTCCTTTGTGAGCGACTGGCATTAAAGGTATGGGTGAGCAATTTGGCTACTGCATAAATTAGTTTGCTTTGGAGGCATCTTTCCTGAATTAAGACAAAAATGTATGAGCCGGAGGCTAAAAAACTGTTAGCTAGCTTGCACTTAGAGGAAACACTGGACAAGACCCAGGTGCCCTCAGGAGGTCCACCAGCAGGGCCAAAACTCCAGGAACCCACCCACTCTTGCCCCCCAAGCACCAAGAATGCAGAGCATCACTGCGCCAGACATAAGAACATAAGAGAAGCCATGTTGGATCAGGCCAGTGGCCCATTCAGTCCAACACTCTGTGTCACACATCAGCCAAAAATACCAGGTGCCCTCAGGAGGTCTAGCAGTGGGGCCAGAACACCAGAAGCCCTCCCACTGCGCCCCCCAAGCACCAAGAATATAGAGCATCACTTGCCCTACACTGAGAGTTCCTATCTATACCTTGTGGCT